AAAAATTATAAACTCTACTACTAGAAATATATATAAATACAGTTGGATCACTCAAAGATACAAAATGGCAAGGTGTACATCCTTCCTATGCAATATGAAAGCATGATGTCATCTTCTTTTCTCGGAAAATGCTGTAAACATTTATGTTTAGCGATGTTCACACTTCCGATGGAGCAGGGTTTCATTCTAAAGACTTTATAAATATCAATAATCTGGTCCTTCTAATTCAAATGTTAGAATACTTTTAAAGAAAAGAGTAATCTTGGAATACAAGCCACATTGATATTTTAAAATTATTTAACTGGGGTTAAATAATTTTAAAATATCGATGGGGCTTTTTCTTCATTTTTGATCTTCATGGTCTCGACTGTGCTTATTCTGTCTGCAAGAAGATTTCTTACATCAGAGGAATTCAAGTAAATCCTGTACAATACACACTTTACTGCATGCGCCCTCCCAGAGCCCACCTGTCAGGCTATCATGCTCATGGAGAGGAGGAGGCAAAAGAGAAATATCTCTGGAGACTTTCTCTCTCCCAGGCAAGGAAAGCTTGTGAAATGCTTTAGTTCTGATTTCCATAAGCTCGAAGACAACCTTTAAAGGCCCACCCACATTTTCTGCAAATCCAGGACTAAGCCCACTCTGCCCAGGCAGTCATTCTTCACATAATATTTTGAAATATGATATTGCACAGCGTATCCAATGTTTGGATACAAACCAAAACTCTCAAGTAAACGCTCCCCGTCCGCCCCGCTGAGGAATGCATAGAATCATAAAGTACACGCATGTTTCAAGCACTGGGCAAAAACCAAAGTGTAAAAAAAAATCTATCGACTTGCATGTTTTAGAATATTTGCAAATGATGAATTGTGACCTTTTTTGGTAAGGTTAAAAAAACAACACATTTTCTCTTAAGGTTGATTCAGTTGTTCTGAGGGGGGACGTATATATAGATCTATATTGTGTCTTGAATCAACAATGCTGTTTTTACTTCTTGATAGGTGGCACTTAATTGAGGAGTCCTGGCAGTGCAGTGGGTTAAGCGATACACCCTGGGCTGCTACATGAAAGGTCAGGGGTTGGGACCCACCTGTCACTCAGCAGAAGAAAGACGAGACATTCCACTTTCATAAGGATTCACAGTCTTGAAAACTGTACAGAGCAGTTCTACTCTGTTGGGTAAAGTCAGTATGAGTCTGAATTAATTGGACAGCCGTGGGTTTGATGACTTCATGCAGATTTGAATATTTCTGGTGGCCTATTGGGTTAAGCACTGAGCTGCTAAGCACAAAATGTGACTGAAACCCACCAGCCATTCCCTAGGAGAAAGGTGAGGGTGTCTATTCTCATAAAGATTTACAGTCTTGGAAACCCACTGGGCAGTTCTACTCTGACCTGCAGGGTCACTATGAGTTGATATAGACTGGGTGGAAGTCGACAGTTTATTGCAGAAAAGTTTCCCATCTGAGCAACAAGATCTACACATATTTTCTACAAGTTGGTGTCTTTCTTAGAACTCTGTTTCATACAGAAATTCCTTTGATCAACATGGAGAAAATTCTGACTCGGTTACCATAAAAATAAAGAAAATCAACTTATTAAACTTACTTAATTTATAGCAGAATCCATCTATGTTGAACCCAAGTCAATGCGCTATTCTGCCTCTATGGCAACCCACCCCAAAATGAAAAATGTCATTTTTCAGATCTGTGAGTACCCTGTCCAGTAATACCTTAGAACAATGCTTCTGATCCTTCACCATCCACTAGAAACACTGATGTTGGGGAGAGAAGATGCACATTTATTTAGAACTGATTTCTTGGTGAAAGTAACACATTTCCTATCTGCATCTGGTTGCAAACTGGAAAAAGGCACAGACCTGCGCTGGTAAGCACATAGCTTGTGAGTAGAGCCGGGGCCCAATACCAGCATCCAGTTGGCGCCTCTAGCAGCAACTCTTGTGCAGTGCATGATCTGAACAACTGGTCATGGAGATCCTATTTCCACAGCTCTTTCTTTCCAGTGCTGTACACATCAGAGGCTCTCTGTATCACCAGCGCGTTTCTCTACATTCTCTGCAGAACGGGCCTGTGTCAACTATGGCCAACACATGTTTCTAAGAGCACAACACAAATCCACCCAGCATAAATGCAGATAAGAAGTCCATGATATTTGATACAGATTCTCATAGACGTCACTCCCCTTGTTCACACAACAGGCGCGGGAAGACTTACCGCTGTCTTCCACCGTAAACTGGAAGGCGTCACTGGTGGCATTTGCCCCTTCTCTTAAGACGTAGCATATGTTGGTGTCATCAATGTCAGCTAGAAAAATAACCAAAGGGCAAGAGGATTAATGGTTACTGGGAGAAAGCTGAGGACACATGGCTTATGGCACATCCCATTAGCGATGCCTTTTCTGTAACCGCATTTAGGTTGCCAGCCCCGCCTAAGGGGCATGGTGTTATCGTATTTCACATGTCTCCAGGCCCCTGGATTTCAGCTGCCCCGTGGAAATCTGATTCTTTCCACAGATAAATAGAACCAAAGAGCTAAGTTACAATAATAGCAAGGTGTTGCTCTTTCCCAATGGTACTTGCATGTTCATGCACCAAAGGAGTGGCTATTTAAATATGGAATACCAGTCACCATAACAGGTGGACAGGAGATTATTTTGGGACCTGGCAGATTTCCTGGAGCTCCTGAAATCACACTGTAACCTCTTGATAGACCTCGCAGCTGACTTTTCTAACCTCTCATGGGATAACTGGCTGGTTTTAAGTTCTCCAGTGTTTGAACCACAACCGAAAAAGTAACCCAAAAGATGAAATTTGGAAAATACAAATCTCACCGATTAAAATAGCTAGCACAACCCAATAGCAAAGAGAACTTGAAACGGAAAATATTTAATAAAAGCTGGAGCCAAATTCTTATTACAGACATCGGCCTTGGCGGCCTCCGGTATGCTTCTAACATTGCTCCCTGCTCTCACTATCAGATCTTGTACAGCTCTGTTCACAGTGTCGTCTAGAGGTCTTGACCCATGTCACTGGTTCCTCTTGTTCATAATGGCTCAGACACAAGCTCATAAAACAAACATCCTTCTTTCATGTCTTTGTGCTAGGCTACCCACTTACAGTAGCCCGTGACTTGATCCGGGCCAATCGCATTGCCACAGGTACATAACATCAAGATCATGGCTCAAAATAGCTTCAACCATGGTTGTAAAATGTATATGCCTGGGATGTTCTCTTCACTTATTCTATCTCCTAAGAGGCCTATTAAATCCATGTGATGGAGTGGGAAGGAGGTAAAGCTAAGAAGATGCTTCATGAAAGGATAATCCCGAAGGATGCAAAGGCAGTACTGGGACTGATGAACGACTCAGAGCACCCATCGCCTCTCTTTCCTGATGTGCGTTTCGGGCTCTACTCTGTCTCTCCAGTTTTAAAAGGTAAAAGAGTTGATGGTGGTCGTGGTTGCCACCTGCTTTGAAGGAGGTCCTCACACCCCCCAGGCCCTGGAAAAGGTCACTAAACTTGGTAAAGTAGAGGGGCAGCGAACACGAACTGACACAGTGACAGACGCCAAGCAACGGGCTCAAACAGGAACAACCATGAGGATGGCACAGGACGGGGCAGTGTTGAGGTCGGTTGTCCAGGAGAGCATCCTGCTCTCCATGAGGGGAACCTAACAACAATAGGGTAGAACTTCTCCATAAGGTTTCCTGTAATCCTTACAGAGTCCCTGATTGGCATCACACAGATCGCGACTACTAGCTAAAAGGTCAGCACCTCTGCAGACAGACACGCCTGGCAATCTACTTCTAAAAGTCCCAGCTGTAAAAGCCCTATGGAGTTCGGTTACTCACTAACAGCAATGACCAGCGCAACAAATCTTTACAGCAGTGTTTCACCAAGCCTTTAACCTGTGGCACCGCTGAATGGGTTTGAGGCACCAACCTCTGGGGTAGCAATTCATTAATCCATTACCAACTGCTAGCACCAATTTAAAAAAATAAAACAACTAGCCAGGCTCACTACCATTGAGTCAAATCCGACTCACAGTGACCCTGTGGGACGGAACAGAACTCCCCCTCTGTGGGTTTCTAAGACTGCAACTCTTTAAGGCAGAAGAAAGCCTTCCTCAAAGGAATTGGTGGTTTCGAACTGCTGACCTTGTGCTCCGCAGTCCAGTGGGTATCCACTATGCCACCAGAGCTCAACTTGCATCATTAGGCTCCTTCAATCATTGAAGGTACCTTCTTGCGAAGGGAAGTACTGGGAGGTGAAGTCTAAGGTCTTTTGGTTCTACTGCAGCCCTTTAGCCCTTCTCATATCTGATGGTTCTGGATAAGTGCCCTGCACAGGTCTTGGTCAGTTTGCTCTGACAACTCTCAATTTTTGTGACCTTGAACTTATCGGCAAGGGCCAAATTGAAAGCCTGGTCTGATCACACACCTGTCATCTAAGAACAATGATGCCTGGTCTTTGGGGAAAGAGTCATCTTCCTCGTCTAATTTTAAAAGAAAAATCTAAAGGTGCTACTCTGAGAGAAGAAACCCGCATGCAAAACTGCTTACCTAAGCTCCCTATCAACATTTTCCTAAACAAAGCCTTCAGTATTTAGGAGATAGTTCCTTCAAAATAAATCACTTCTTAGATTTTTTAAAAGAACATTTTGTTAAGTCAAGAGGACAGAAATGTCAAAATGTCCCTCCAAGTGACAGTCAATATTAATTCGTTGGAACAACCTAAAACTCTTTTCATTGTTCTTACAATTCTGTTAGAAAGCAGTTGTTCAAAATGAAGCCCTGTGTTCATTTTCAATCTCAAATAACCCAGGGTTTAGGTGACAACTGTTAGTCTACCCAATTAAACCAGCCCAAACCCACCACCGTTGCATAGATTCCAACTCATGGTGACTCTATCCAGGGGTTTCTGAGGCTTTGTAATGATTTAGGGAGCAACTTCCTCTTCCTCTGGAGGATCAGCTTGTGGGTTGGAACGGCTCGTGGTTAGCCATCCAATGCTTCCCTGACAGAGTCAGGAACACAAGGTAAGTCAAAAAGTATTGTTCATAGAAATCTTCTTAAACCCAACTATCCCAATGAGAAACTATTATTTCTCAAAATAGTCTCTCCCTGGGTCTAAAGGGATGTTCTACTTTAATGCTTCCCGGAAGAGTTCTGTGATCTACAACACATCAGAATGGTGGCTAGGGCACCCTCCAGGGACTCGATCCATGTTCCTTTCCAATGTTCTTTGAGGAACAGGAACAAAAGGAAATGTGGAGGAGCGGGACTAGGGCAGTAGGGTGGATGGAGTAAGATTTCTCAATGAACGTTTCATAGGACAGCCCTGGCTACCTTCAAAGAATGTGTAAGTGGGTGCAGCACTGTGATGCGGGGGAAGAAAAAATCCCTGACAGAAGTTTCTCCAGCGTATTCTTACCAATGCAGTGTTCAAAACTCCAAATAGTTCTTCACAGTGAGCCTCATGAGAGTCTAGAATCCTTCAAGAAAATCTATCAAGATTACCCCTTGGGAATCTGCCAATAGACAGTCATCATAACCCTCTGAGCTGATCTCCTTGCCTTGATTGAACTTTTGGATAAGATTCCCCCAGAAACCACTGTTTTGATGGGACTTCTCGCCCCCACCTCCCTGAAGGCAGCCCAATGAGACTAAAACAAGTGAATGTCTGAGAGAACGTGTCCACTGTCGACTCTTGCTCGCTGAGGCAGGTTTAAACGCGTTGGGTTTGGAGTAAGCATGTGAGTGTATCAACTGGAACTCTCGTAAAACCTTTCCACTTACCCACACACGTGTAGCATCTGTTTTCTTAAGGCACTGAGGTGCCGAGAAGAGAAACCCAAGGGCCACAATGTTTCCTTCTCTTAAGGAAACACCTGAGGATTTCTTCAATGATGGGACATGGATGAACCATCTTTTGGGTGATAGAAATCAATCAGCCCTGGCTGGTTTGGATTCTAAATTCATAAACATTCTTAGGAACCACACCCTTGGCTCAATCTCGTTAGGGAGACTTACTCTCCTGAAAGTGACTGATAAATGATCTCACACAGGTACCAGGATGCATTTGGTATGGAGAAAGAATCCAGCTACCGACACAAGTGGCATACAGCTGGAGTCGGGAATCCCTTTGGGCAAGGGTTGACATTAGAAACGATGAAATCATTTCCAGAATTTAAAATTTTCTTAATCATGAAATTTTTAAAGTTTTGCAAATGGATTATTAGTATTATTTCTCCTAAGGGCCCTTTGGGAAGGACTAGTGGTTACATGTTGGGCTGTGACCCATGAGATCCATTATTCGAAACCACCAGCTGCTTCTTGGAAGAAAGACTTGGGCCTCCTACCCCCAGGAACAGTTACTGTCTCAGAAACCCACAGGGGCAGTTCTACTGTGTCGTATACGGTCACTAGAGTCGGCATCGACTTGATAACACTTGAGTTTTGAGAAGGACCATTTGGGAGATCTTGGGTGGCTCAAACAGTTACATGCTTGGCTGTTCCACAAAAGTTTGGCACTTCAAACCCACCCCAAAGTGCTTCTACTTCCAAAGGCAATCTACTTCCAACAAACCACGCAGGTTTGAAGACCCAAAGGGTAGTTCTGCTAGGTCCACTTGGGGTTGCCATGAGGAAGGCACACCTTGAAGGCTCCCAGGACCATTTAGGGGCATTAGTGACTCAATAGTAGAATTCTACTCCCATGCAAGGAGACCAAGGTTTAATCTTTCAACGAACCTCACGCACAACCACCATCTGTCAACACGTGGAGCCTTGCATGTGGCTGTGATGCTGAGCAAGTGTGGATGGAGTTTCCCTACTAAGACAGGCCAGAAAGCAAGACCTGGTGATTTTCTTCCAAAGATCAGCCGGTGAAAACCCAATCAGATCAACAACAGCTCATGAGGACAGCTCAGGGCCAGGTAGCCTTTTGTCCTGTTGTGTATGGGGTCATATGCCATGAAGACCAATTCCATGGCAGCTAATGACAATAACAACAGGACGATTTATCCTATCTAAAGAATAACCTTCTCTGGACACATGAGTTACATTGACTAAAGTCAACGAACAATCCATCAAAATATAGTTCAATGTATTTGAAACAAAATAACATAAAGAGGGCATACCCTTCACTCTCAACGTGATTTCCTCTATTTAAAAAGCCAACGATAGTAACTATAAAATAGGAGCCTCTCCTAATTTTGGCTTATCTAGTATCCACAAGAAGGATGCCTGGTTGTGTAATGGTTATGAGTTGGACTGCTAACTATAAGGTCAGAAGTTCCATACTACCAGCTGCTCTTTGGGAGAAAGAGGAGGCTTTCTACTCCTGTAAAGAGTTAGTCTCAGAAACCCACAGGGGCAGTTCTACCCTGTCCTATAGGGTCTTCACCATGAGTCAGAACTGACAAGATGGCGGTGAGTTTGGTTTTTCTTCTTTCTTATTTTAGCATCCACAAATAACTGCAACAGCCCAATCTCCAGCCTCAATTTGTTCAACAAAATAACCATTTACCTAGTCAACAGCTAGATTCTTATTGGAATTCGATTATTTATGTATTATCAAGTTTCTCTTAAAAACTTATTTTTCCTGTAATAAGAAATCCCAACTACTATATTTACAAACAATCACACCCATAAAACTTGGTGAGTCAAAGTCGGTGAGTAAATGAGTGAGTGAGAGAGAGAGAGAGAGAGAGAAAGGTCAGCCTATAATAAAAGAGCCTAGCCATGTTATATTTAGGAAATAATGTTCCAATGCTATGGGTTGGATCAGATAAAGTTAAAATGAAATAATTTCTTATCTTCATTGAAAAAAATTTGTGAAGTCTAAATCAATTTATTTTTGCAGGCCAGGGAATGATGTGAAATAACATCTTCTCCTCCCTCATCTGGGAGAGAGGCTGTGGAAAAGAGGACAACCCTGCATGAGGTGGATGGACTCACGGACATGCTGACACTGGTTAGGGAGAGCGCAGGGCCTGGCAGTGTTTCATTCTGTTGGCCTCGGGGTCGCTACAAGTTGGGATCCCCTAGTCCTCCCCAAACAACACCCACAACAACACCCACTAGTCTGGTCCTTTCATTCGCTTCCCTTTCTATGAAAATAACCCCATCTAAGATCCCAGGGCACTGCCACCTCGAAAAGGCTTCACACAAAAGTCTCCGGGTCTGGCGTGACACTTGGCACGCTGAGGTTTTCCTGTCCCTGCAGGCCCTAGGATACAGCCAGGCTTTCAGCCAAGAATCGGGAGGTTGGAGCTTGGGGCAATTTGCCAGCAGCTAAAACAGAGAGGCAGTTCACTTTCACACTGCATTTGGAGACACCTTGCTTGTTAAAGCATTTGTTAACTCTGAGCACAACACTGTTTAGGAAAAGAACACCCCCTGGGGAATGTCCTGGGGTTAAGCCCCATCCCTAACCACAGCGCCCACAGGGACTGGTTCCAGTTTCCATGATCACACGGGGAGATTTCCATGAAAGGCCCAAGGCCCTTTGTTGGGAAAGTCACGGTTCTAGAGAACAGAGCCCTCACTTCCCAGCCAGCAGACTGAATGAGTTTCTCCCTCTGTCACTGCATATCTCTGTGGAGGTCACCTGCCCTTCCTGCCTTAGCCTGTGTTCCCCAGACAAAGGAGAACCTGCTTAGAAAACTCCAACAGCCTGACAATCACACTGCCACTTGAGGTAAGAGGTGTTTGTGAGCAGGTTTGAAATCATGAAACCGCTCTCCTCTTTCAATGATTCACCTTGCTAACGTGTCTCGGGTTCTTCAGACTGAAGTGTATGCACCTTTGAGTAAGGAACAAACACACCGTTATCTAAAATACATCACGAAGACTCTGCTTTGTGCTTGGGGATCCTAGAAAGGTAAATGTTATAACTCTAGACAGCTGTTTGCCAGTTGGGTCATTGGAAAAGTGTTTTCCTAAATCATGAACTAGTACAAAACAAAACAAAAGAAGAAAACAACCATTAAACGACAGCTATTTCTTGTTGTAGTTAGGGGCTGTGGAGTAGGTTCTAACCCCTAGCGACCTTATGAACAACTGAATGAAATTTCCTGATCCGGTGCCATCTCACAAATGTCCCCATGCTCGAGCGCATTGTTGCAGCCGCTGTGCCAATCCACCTTGTCGAGAGCCTTCCCCAGTGATGCTGCCCTTCCACCTGACCAAGCACGAAGATGCCCTTCTCCAGAGACTGCCCTCTCCTGACAACATGGCCAAAGTCTGTGAAAAGAAGTCTCTCCACCCTGGCCTCTCAGGAGCATTCTGGTTTGTTCTTTTGTCAACCGGTGGTACTTTCAATCCAAATATAAATATAGACGAATGTTGTTCTAGGGACCAAGTTGCTAGCAACTGGTATCAGAATACTACGCTCCAAGATTAGCCAAAGTCCCACGGGAAAAAGTTCAGTAGGGTTAGGCCAGGAAGAGGAACGAGAACGGGAAACGCAGGGAGGGCATGGGCTCGGTGATGGCACAGGGAGAGGATGGCAATGGAGGAGCTGCAAAGCAAGGCGTGTGCATTGTGGAAGGTAGACCAGTGATCTGCTCTGTAAACCTCCACCCAATTCCCAAGACAAACAATTTCAAAAACCTAGTAATACACAGTATTATTGTTGAAGGTGTCATGTGTAGGCAGCACCCTTTTTTGGTCTCCTAACTAAAAACCTTCAGGGAATGTCTACAGCACTCAGACAGAGGCTGCTCCGGGGAGAGGGGTGACGAGTGGAGCAGGGCTGGGGAGCTGGCTTCCGCATGAAGTCATGTAAGTTACGTCTCGCTTTAGGAGCCGATGACGCCCCTCTCAAAACACATGGATGCTTCCTCTGATGCGTGTTGCGACAGTGGGACAAATGGCAAGAAGTGAGCTTCTTTCCCAGGAAAGTGGCTCCCGGGTTTTCCCTTCTCCTTCTTGTTCTCCCCTTCCATCGTCCCTTCTCCTTCCTGTCCCTTCCCTTGGACCCTCGGTGGATGCTCTCCTTCAGAGGTCATCCAGGACAGCCATAACCCAAGTCAACACCACCCTCCCTGCCACCGAGTCGGTTTGACTCCCCTCGGCCCTCGAGGACAGAGAACTGCTCCAGGGGGGTTCTGAGACTATAGATCTTTATGGGAGCAGATAGCCTCATCTTTCTCCCACAGAGCACTGGTGGTTTCGAACCGCTATTCTTTTAGTTAGCAGCCCAAGCCATTTAGTTTAGCTAAAGGACCAACAGAACGAAAACAGTCCATCCTACCTTGCGTGAACTGAATGACACTGCGGTTGCCTTGCGCCAGGTTGAAGAGGTAGCCGTGCCTGGGGCCCTCAGTCACAGTAAACCTGAGAGCCACGTGCATGCTGTCTCTGTCCTCCACTTTCAATATCTTGCTGGTGATCAGGAAGCCCACGTGGCCAGTGGCCAGCATGCGGAGCGTAGAGGCGCCTTTATTCACTGCAATCTGGGGCGCACTGTTGTCAACAGCCAAGACCTGGATCCTCATCACCTGGGGTCTCCTTGTCTCAAACACGGTTTCCGGAAATACGTAGAAGTCGGCGTGGGTGCCGTCGGTGACCGTGAAGGAGAAGCTGTCTTCCCTTGACTCGGTGCCGTCGTGCTTGTAACTGATTAAGTTCTCGTTCAAGTCTTGCTTAGTGAAAACCCTGGCAGGCCTGGTATTGTTGAAGAGGAGGTGGCCGTGGACAGGCACCTGAGTGACCGTGAAGGTCAGGAGGCTGTCAGGAGTGTCCCTGTCTTCCACTGTCAGTTCAAAGGGGGTGATCAGCTTGCTTTCGCGTTCGCTGACCACCAGTTTGTGGATGGTCACCACTGGCTTCTTGTTGTCCACGTCGCTGATGGAGATCCGGAACGTCCGGAAGACAGGGTTACGGCCATCAGTGACTTGAAACTCAAAGCTGTCCATCTTCACCTCATCCTCCGCTGTGTGGATGTAGTAGATCTTGTTGCCAGCAAGTTGCAGCTGAGTGAACGAGGAGACGGGCACCCCGGATTGATCTGTGCACTCCAAGTGGCCTCTCATGGGCGCCCTGGTGATGGTAAACACGAGCTTCTCATCAGGGCTGTTCAAGTCACTTGTGCTTAGTAGGTCTGTGGTCAGGGTGACTTTGCCGCCTTCTTTCAAAGACACTCCTTTACTTACCACGTCGGGAAAGACGATATCAATGCTGCCAATGGAGATATAAAAATAGCGGTCGATGAGGGCATTGACTCCATCCGTCACATCAAACTTAATTAGGTCCCGGATGCCCTCTTGCCCACAATGGACATACTGAATGAGGTGTCTATCCACTTCGTCCTGGGTAAAGTTCATGCCCAAGGTTATATTTTCAAAGGTGCCTGTGGGTTTCTGTTTCTGTAACAAGCCATGCCCTGGACCGTACCGAATGCTGTAGACTAAGGATTTGTCTTCAGAATCCAAATCCGTCGCCATCAAAACCCTGTTGCTGATCATTTTGGTTTCTCCAATGTCTATGTCTAGCCCATTATTGATCATCATTCTGGGGGTCTCATCATCCACAGGGATAACAAGAACGAGGACCCTCTTTTCCACAGAATGCTTGCCATCTGTGAGTTCAATCACAAAACTGTCTTCCTGAGTCTCGGAGTCGTCGTGCTCATAGATGATGCTGGAACTTTCTATGATCTGGTCCAAGGTGAAACTTTCAACCAACAGTGTGCCATTGAGGAGCTGGTTCAGGATGTGACCGTGTGTGGGAGGCTGGGTGATAGTGAACGTTAAGTCCTCTGGGGGTATGTCAGCATCAGCAGCATTGAGGATGGGCGTGTCAATGACCAAACTCATGCCTTCCATCACCATAAACTCCCTCATAAACATCTCCGGCTGTTCGTCATTGGTGGGGAGGATAACAATGGGGAAAAAGTTTCTATCTGAAAAATTAATGCCATCAGAACAGCGAAATATAAATCTGTCTTCCACAGGCTCCACCCCTTTGTGGACGCTTTGAACATAGTTAATGTGGCCCTGCCTGAGATCCTTCAAGGTGAACGCACTGATGGCAATTCCTGCCCTCGATTTCTCAGAGCCAGGTGCTGGAGAAATGTTTTCGACGTAACCTGAGGTGGGCTGAATAACTATAGTGCACAAGATGCCATCGTTCAGGGAGTCAGGGTCTTCAGCACTTATATGGGTTGCGGTGATAACACCCTTTTCCCCTTCCATGACTACAAATCGCTCACCTACAGAAATTTCTGGAGACTGGTTATCAACAGGGAGGATGGTCACCCACACAGTAACTCCTCGGATAATATTGCCACCCATTCTCCACTCCTGGGACATATCTGACAGACTCAGGTTAAAAGAGTCCTCTTTGGGCAATAAGCCTATCTCCCCACTCGTGTGAGCATAAACAACAGAACCCTCCAAGATGTCCCTTTGGGTAAAGTGCGCTGCGGGGGCTCCATTGACGAGGATTTCCCCAAGCAAGGGTGGACCATCCAAGAGGAAAGTCAACATCAAGTCATCGGTGTTCTCATTCGTCCCCTTGATAATACTGGCAGTGATCTCCGTGGCCCCATTTTCTAAAACATCCAGATAGGACCCCAGTCTGCCAGCAGGAAGGCCCAGTATGGATACCTCATTCTCCACCGGCCGCACAGTCACTCTGAGCGTTATGGGCACCACGTGGTGTCTGTCGCTGACTTCCAAGGAGCAGCTATCCGTCAGGGACTCGTCCCCATGATGGGTGTAGGAAACCCGGCCCTGCTTGATGTCTTCCAAGTAGAAGGTCCCACCCACAGGAAGTCTCTGCCCAGACACTCGCACGTGGCCATGCTTGGGAAGCTGAGTGAGAGTGAACGAGATGTGAGCTGCGTCAGTGTCCACGTCGGTTGCATGCAACTCAGTCTCACTCAGGACGTGGTGGCCCTTCTCCTGAATGGTGAAGCCTGCGTTGAGGATCTCAGGTGGCCGATTGTCCACCGGCTGCAAATAAAGGGTGAAGATCCCTGGAGCCATGTTTCCAAGTTGATCCTCCACCTGGAACTGGAACTGGGCCACGCGGGCAGCTACGCCCAGTTCTTGATCTGGAGGCCTGTAAGCAATCTTATGGTGGTTGATCTGGGCCTGGGTAAAGTGGCTCACTACCACAGAGGGGTTGTCGGCCAGGACCAAGGTACCCAGAGGGGCTGGCGAGTGGTTTTCATCGGTGTCCATGGGTGGCTGGGTCACGGTGTAGCGCAGTTCTCGGTCATCTGTGTCCAGGTCAGTGTAGCGCAGCCACTTCTTCCTCAGTGTTGTGAGCTGGGATTCCTGCACCACCATCCGAAGGGGACAGCCACTGCCCAGCTCTGGGGGAAGACGGTCCACCGGATGAATGCGTACCACAAACCTCTGCGGCCCAGACTGATTGGGGGGGTCGTGGTTATCCTGGACTCTGAACATGAACTGGTCCATGACTGGCCCAGGACTATGGGGCCCCGTGTGCCTATAGAACAACCTCCCCTCCAGAATGTCCTGCTGCCGCCACTCTGTCACCATGCGCTCATAGAACACCCCTTGCTTGCTCCACAGGCCCCTAGTGAGCTCCAGCTCCTCCTGGGGAGGTTGGCTCTGGCGGAGAAGCAGCTGCCCTGCCGTGGAGTAGGGCGGCTCCAGCACAAAGCGCAGCAAAGAGTCATCGGAGTCCATATCCGTGGCGCTCAGCGTGAGCGGTGGGATGGCCACCGTTTCACCCTCTGCCAGGGTCAGCCCTGTGTTGGCATTGAGGACAGGCGGCTGATCATCCACTGGCACTAAGGTGATGGGGAACAGGAACTGCACCCGGTGCCTGCCGCCCCCGTCGACCATGCGAAGCACCAGGTTGTCGCTCAGGGAGCCGTCTTTGTCATCATGCTGGTAGACCACCTGGCCGGCGGCCAGCTCAGCCACCGTAAAGGCCTTGGGCGCAGAGTGACCACTGGAGGCACCCAGAAGGACGAGGTGCCCGTGCCGAAGTCCAGCAACCACCTCCAGCTGCACTGCCTCCAGGTCATCCTCATCGCTGATGACTAAGTTCTGGGGCCCTCTGCTGGCAGGGCCTGTGAGGGGCTGAGACTGGCCCTCGTAGAGAACGAGGCCAGTGTTCCGGGTGACCACTGGAGCCAACGTGTTCATGGGCTTCACCACCACCATGAAAGCAAAGGGGTCTGAGGCTGCCCCTTCGGGGTCCACCACTTCCAGTTCCAGTTCAAAGAGACGCTCATGGTTGGAGTCCTCCGCGGGGGGCTGGTAGGCGATCTTCAGGAGGTGCAGATCGCGCTGGGTGAAGGAGGAGAGCGGCAGGCTGCGGTCATCCGTGCTTACCAGGTAGCCCTGGCCCGGCTGGAATGGCGAGGTGAGGTTGAAGACCAACAGTTCCGGGGGAGACTCAGCATCTTCCGCTGCCAGCATGTCGGGGGTCAGGGCGGTCAGGACAAACTGGTCCACCTCCATCATCATCATGGCCACAAAGCTCGGCTTGGGGGCCGTGTTCTCCGTCCCTCCTAGTATCCTCACCAGGACCTGGAAGTGCTCGCGTTTCAAAGCAGGGCTGCCCACAGGCGTCCCCCGGGCGCGGAGCTCCACCACCATGGGCACCCAGTCTCTGTTGGGTGAGCGGCTGGGGGCCGTATGTCGGTAGCGTACGCCCAGCTCCTGGAAGGCTTTGCAGTCCAGGAGCAGAGGCTCGGGAGCTGCGCCTTCGCTCACTGTGCCTGGGACCTGCGGGTAGTGGAGGAGCTCCCCGTAGCGGGGCAGCGAGCTCAGACCTGCCAGGATGCCCACGCGGCACTCTTCCGTCTCGGGCTGATAGGCGAACTCCAGGCTCCGCGCATCCAGCGCATTGCTGGTCCCCAGCAGCTCTTCCACGACCAGGGGCAAGTTCCGAGTCACCACCTCCAGCTGGGTGAAGACCACCTCCACCTCCAGCACCAGGGGCAGCACCACCGCCCGGCCCGGCGCGTCGTAGCGCAGCTGCAAACGGACGCGGTCCCGCGACGGGCTGCGCGCTCCCAGGTGCGAGTAGCGCACCTCGCCGGGGCCGAAGTCGCAGGGGAAGCGTCTGGGACTCAGGCGGCCGGGCCGCTGGGACAGCGCGTCGTTGTCCAGCACGACCAACGAGCAGCGGTCCCCCGGTTGCACCTGTAGCACCAGGTCATGCAGCGGATCCAGCCAGACCTCACGGCCGAAGGGTACCCGGAGCCCGCGGTTCGCCAGCACGATGGCTTCCTCGGCTGGGACCCCCACAGCCCCCGCGAGACCCGGGGACAGCAACGGCGGGCCAGGGGCCGCGGGCTGTGCGGGG